TATTGACGACTAAAACTTCACCACCTTTCTTCGGCAAGCCATACTGCTCTACCATATACACATAGACATCACTAACCGTAATTGGTGGTCCATTAAAGTTAGAGAAAAACGATGTGAAATAATTTAGCAGCCCCTGCCCTTAATTATCCTCCGCAAGCCGTATGTTAGTTTCTTTCCCGAGACGAAAACTTTGAAACATGTAAAACAGGCCGACGAACAACGATATGAGAGAGCGAGACGATGAAGTACAAGACTCATTTATTACATGAAAGCGTTATTTCTAAAAGCGAGTATATTCACTAGCAAATGAGCCTCGGACTACATAATAGTCCTAGTATTTCGGGGCTCAAATAAAAAAAAAGACGCTCACTTTTAGGAACAGCGTGTTTAAATGATTTCAACAGCGTTCACGCATCTACAAACTATGTTGCCGTGCTAAGGAAAAACGCCGTATGAACCTTCAGGCGTTGCCAAATTATCCTTGACAAAACACGACTTTCTCGGTAAAAATATGAATATTTTTCTTCCAATTTTTCCGATAATTTTGTACGCAATTTCACCCAAAGTTCCTGAAAGTTTCAGGCAAAAATATTCATACATTTTCTCAAAAATAAACATTTTAGTGAAGGAAATTTGGTGGCTTTCGATTATTCATACGGCGTTTTTCCCTAAGCATGGCAGTAAACGAAGGTAGAAGGTTGACACGACTCGCTAAACCCTTCGTCCTTCCGTTCTCGGCTAGTGGAGAGAATTTTGGTCGGTTTCACGAACAATAAGAGATATTAATGGCTCAGAATCTCGGATTTGACACCCGGGTATGATTAATTTCAGACCCCCCAACACTTGGCACCATACGTGAGGATCTAAATTAACTACGGAGAGACGCTACTCACTTAATTTTGAGAATGAAAAGGTTCACAGGAAGCAATTGTCTGCGGTTTAGGACTAAAAATAGCAATTACTAATTGAGGAGGTAAGGGGACCACTTAAGGAAAGCACAAAGCTATAATCTTCTATGAAAAGCACGGACTTTAAAATTCTCGCACACTGGAAAAAAAACACATTGGATCTAAAGTCCGGACTCTCGGAAAAATTGACAAGAAAAAATACTCTTGACTCAATCGGATTTTTGCTTGAATCAAAACGAAATCCGCTTAAATTAAGAGGCTTGGTTCTTGATTTACGCTAGATTCTGATCGAATCAAGAGTACTTTTTCTTGTCGATGTTTTTAAGAGTCTGGACTCTAGGTCTAATGTTTTTTTTTCCGGTGAAGTGTCTTTACTTATCCGTTTCTTTCTGATTTTGGGGGGTGTATTATTGATGGAGACCCAGGGTAAACGCTCATTTCCAACAAAATTTGTTGGTATATTCATTAGATTAAAGAGCCGAAAAATCTATTTTTTTTTCTTCCATCTGCATGGTCATTTTTGTAACGCTGAGTCAATAAGGATCGCGCATTTTTAAACAAGATGATCTCAGGAGAAAACAGAGGAAATACTCCGGTTTGTAAGAACAATTCTGTAACTATTTCCCGCCTGACTTCGCTAAAGATTGGTTGTTCCCGAATAAATTCTAGGTTTTCTCAGTCCTGGACGAATTACTAGAAATTGAGGGCATTAAACACAGACTGCTCGTCATTCTCAGTTAAATCAAGATAAGTCTTAGATTGATAAAACTTAGAAATCGTTTTAGAGCGAGGTCAATTCTATTTCATGCTTCACCTTTGGAGGTTGAAATTAATTCGATTAAGAGGTTTTCAAAGGTTTACTGACATCAGTAGCGATAGTTTTTCGAGTTAAAACTCACTTAAGGAAGATATTTCTCCTCTTCCGCTCTTTCTCTTTTCCCTTTCTCTCCACACTCTACCCTCTTCCAGTGGCGTGGCGTGTTTTGCGATGTATCGATTGATCATGAATCTATGAAAAAGGATCGATAAACAGGGTGTTCACAGCGAGCACCTTAATAATCGATTCTTTACCCTACCTTGAAATGGAGCTATATCGATAACCGATCATTCACGCCTATCTACTGACCTCTTCTTATCTTCCATTATTTTAGTGGTTGAAGGGAGGACTTGCCATGTACAGGTGTACCTATAAGGGGGCTCTAGGGGCATGGACTCACACTCACTCGTCATGAGTAAATTTTTCGCAATTTTTTGAAAATATTAGCCTTGTGTCCTGCCTCAAGTGTCTCATAAACAATAAAACCAGCCCCCCTTAAACCAAGCTCACGGCGTCAGTGATACAAATGTATGTCTAGTGTGAAACACTTGCAGCCTGCTAAAAGATTGGCTAAAGCTCTCACATGGTGAGAGTGAGAAAATGCATGCTCATTTACAATTTAAAAAAGTGCACTTCTTGCAAGGTAACATAAGTCCGTAAAGCATGTGCTCAAATAATTAGTGTACACTACAGACTTTTAATTTCTTCCTGGAGACATCACGATTCAAAGCACATACACTAAGTGTAGTAGACGATCACGGGCAGGATTTGTTTCTGATGGAGATGCTATTCCTTGCATGAAAATTTTTACGAAAGTAAAATGTTCATTACATTTCATTCCACACTTTGCTTCTCATTTTTTAAAATCATTTCGTCCACCCTCTCGTAGAACTTTCTTTTGAAATTTTGTCGGAGAGGACTCTAGTTTAACACTAAGGACAGGGACGGACTGGCCGGGGTGGCGATGGGGCGATCGCCCCACTTTCATCGGCCAAAATGGGCCCCGGAGGGGCCTCTTTTGGCCGATTTGAAGGGCCGTATTTCGCCGTTTCGAAGAAGCGCCCGAGGGCTTTTTCGGTTCGTCCTCGAGAAAGGGCCCCGAGACTCCTGAGAGGACAGGACACTTTATTGCCGATTCGGAGAGCGCCCTGAAGGAGCTTTTTTATGCCGTATCTAAGGGCGTTGCATTTTGAGAGCCCTTTTTTCTGATTCGAATAAGGCCAAAGGGGTCCTTTTATGTCATTTCGGAAGAGCCCTGAAGGACTCATTTATTGCCGATTCGAAGAAGACTCGATGGAGCCTTTTTTTGCCGCTTCTAAGGACCTTAAAAGAGCCCCTTTATCTGATTCGAAGGAGTCCTTTTTTGCCGTTTCCAAGGGACCATTTATTGCCGATTTGAAGAGGCCTTGATGCGGTTTTATATATACCGCCTCTAAGGACCTTCAAGGCACCGGGCTCTTTCTCGCCGATTCGACAAAAGGGTCCTTTTTGCCGGGGGCCCTTTGGTACTGATTCAGAGAGGCCTCGAGGGCGCATTTCTATGCAATTTTGAACTTTGGAGGCCCCTAGTAGGGAACCTTTCCTACCTTCCTCAAGGGATTTCGTAGGGGCCTTCGGCGATTTTTCCCCCTTTAGCGAAATCCATAATGGGGGCTGTCCATGTAATACGTAACGCAGTTTTTCCGATTTTTTTACCCCCATCCCCCCTCCGTAACGCATCGTAACGCAAGCTCGAACCATCCCCCCCCCTCAAAAAATTAAATAAATACGTAACACAAGCCTCGCCCCTCCCCCCTATTTTGGTCAGTTTTTTAAATTAACAGGGACAAAAAAAGGTCTTACGGCAAAAAAGAGTTACGTAACGTTGGGCTTCTGGTCTCTGTTTGGATAATGTTTCCAAAATAATATTAAAGAATAGGGTCTAAAATAGCGTAAAATTCATTCTAAAAGGGCCTAATTTTCAAAATTTTCCGGGGGAGGGCCCCCGGACCCCCTAGGGTCCCGCCCCATACTTAATTTAGGGCCAGTCCGCCCCTGACTAAGGATCACTACTTCAAGTATATTTATTTTTCTCTTACTTTTTTTTTTAAATTTGCATCAAGGACGTCTCCTTACAGAGAGTTAATTCTCATTACTATACCATACTATGTGGGTACAAATTTATTGAAGTTTAAATACAATCGTTCCATTTTCTTTTGATATTAAATCTAAAGAGAGATCTTAGGGTAGGACACCTGATTTGCTTTTATTGTACGTAGGTACACCTTTTATAATTCTAGTAAACCTTTTTTAAATATTATAATTCCTCTTGGATTTTAGTTTTGAAAAAATAAATGAAAATAATTCCAGAAAAGTTGTTTAGAAACTCATTCTTAAAAGAATTTTTAAAATTTAAAACGATACACTTCATAATTATTTTTATATGCGTTTCAGACTTATTTTCAAGCATTTTGTAGAAATGTTTGCACAATGATTAAAACATGACTTTAAGGGCTTTATATGACTATAGGATGCTAGAAAAAATCGTAAGTCTGTCACCACAATTTATCACCTTAAACTATTTAAAAGATAACGATTCTGAAGAAACATCTGTGAAACATTTTAATTTTCAGAGAGTTTGAAAAAAATATTCTAGTTGCTATTAGGGCTAATTCTCATCCAAGTAATGGGTCTATTGCACGCAAGATATACAGCCAAATACTCTTTATTACAGGCCGGTAAAATCACCCGAAAATAACGTTGGGCAGATAGCACAAGTCAAAAATCCAATCCTCAGCTCTTGATCTGCAAAGTTTGAAACATGCTTTTTCAAGTTTCCCACGTCTGCAGGCTGTTTTTCTCAGTATCACCGCTAACCAGGTTTTCACAGGCAAAGGAGTAAGAAAAATTAACCTGGGTAAACAAACGATTTCACTATCTTTATCCATTGTATGCTTCCAATCGTTCTTTAGCGTTTGTTTCCTTTTCATTTCTTTATTTCGCAAAAACAAAAGCTTCAGACTTTTGACTTCAGACTGAAAACAAAGATTTCAGACTTTTTTGATGTGCGCAATGTGATTTTCGAGCAAACCCCTTAGAATGTGTATACAGTCGGCTGCATCTAATGCTTGCAACAGACCCCATTGTGGAAGCAAAAAACATGATTCAATATTATTATTACGATTATTAAGTGAATTCTGCACTCCTGACACAAGCAAGCCATATCCATCCATACAGCTAATAAAAGCTATTACACTGAGCATCTACTGGCCATGATATAAAAGGAAGGTACTTACAAGAACTGGGTCGGGCTTTATCCTGAACAACTGAGAGTCGTGTTCAAAATACGGAGGAGGAACAGAGAGTCAAGGTGGAAATAGAGAGAGAAAAGAAAAAAAAAAAGAAAAGAGGTGTGAGTAAAGTGATCAGTACAAAGAATGTAATAAATATATATTGTACAAAATTTGCATTTGGAAGCGCACCCAGCAGTGACAGTGCTGAATCGTATAGTAAACGCAAGTGCAGAGCTTGATAGAGGAGCAATCAAAAGTAAAATATGTGAAACGGAACTATGTGCATGATGAAGTGAGCCCTGTTGTGCATATATTCTTATGGGTCTCAGGGCTCATGTCTTAATGCACACAGTTTCGTTTGGCAGAATTACGTTCACTTGTGAAGTATGTGCCTGGATTTTCCGGAAAGGTCAAGTTTATGGGAACATTGGGAACGCGATAGTTCCCGGGAAGTCCCGATGGTTCTTCAAAGTGCGAGTGAATACCGCGAACATTGGTGCATAAGCATGTGCGAGTGGGTGTGTTTTTCTGTCGGAGTTTCCCGGAAGAGCAGATTTGAGTCAACATTCTTGGAAGCTTTCCCTGGAAACTTTCTACAAACGATTCTAAAATGCCATAACTTGCTCGCGAATAAAAAAAACTCGGGCTTGTATGAATATCGCTAGGATCGCTGGTATGCGTTTGTACTGAGATCCGCAGTTTTCGAAAGTTAGATTGAGAGTCATAGTTTTGAGTGGTTTCCGTAACCGTGATAAATTTCGCAAAAAATTCAGCGAGTTTCAGAATTTTCAAATTATAAGTGAACTAGGATTTACTAGGAATTACACGAACGTATGATGTAAATCAGATACGTGTGCAAAACTGTGTTTTTATTTTTGTTTTGTTTTTTTTTTTCAACTTAGAAAAATGTTTAATAGTACAATTATAAATGCGATTGAGGATCCCAAGTGCTAAAATAGATAAAACAAAGATAGGTGCGTGTGTAAAGCTGTTATTTTTAAGCAAAAATGTTGAAGTCGCATTTTTGAAACTTTTACGTAAAATTATTATGAAAAAGGAAAAAAAAACCTAAGAGGAAGGATTGTTGTTAAGGCGCAAATTGGTAGAGCTGAGGGCTTCAAATAAACAAGGAAAAATTAATTCGGAACATCAGGGTAATAATGCAATCAAACAACTCGTGAAAAAAATTGAGGGCCCGTCCGGGATTTGAACCCGGGACCTCCTGCACCCAAAGCAGGAATCATACCCCTAGACCAACGGGCCACGGTGAGAGGAGCGACGAAATGTAACAAAAATAAGCGCTTGGAATGATCAAATATACACGGCTCTAGAGAATAATGATAACTACAGTCATTAGATTAAGATTACTCAAAAATAACATCAGAAATAGTTGAAATCATGTATATTTAGTACTCCGGCGTGAATAGAGCGGTTTAGTCGATACTACGTGGGCTGCGTGGCGGGTTGTGGAGTTAGTTCCTGGTCCCGCCACTCGGCGCGGCAGCAGCACTGAGGCGCGACCTCGTCCCGCGGTTAAGCCGCGCTGTGCATAGTCGCCAAACTTACACGCACGATCCAGTACCACAATGTGCTTGACTGACAGACGGGACGTTCTCGTGCTAAGAAAAAACGCCGTATGGAGTATCCGACTTTGCCACGTTTGCTTTTTGACGTACAGATTTACTAGAGAACTGCCCCTCCCCCATCCCCTTTTTACTTTCCCTCTAATTATCTACAAAAACTTATCTACAGCGCCGGAAAATTTCTAGGAACAATATTGACATTTTTTTTTTTTTTTTTTTTTTTTTTTTTTTTTTTTTTTTAAATGCACATTTTCATAGAGGATATGTGGAAAATTTCGAATGTTCATACGACTTCTTTCCTCAGTAGGGCAGGACGGGGGGAGATTTTTTTTTCTTTGAGCTTATCGCGCCCTGATTATATTTTCTTTGACTTTAGTTTTTGAAAGAACATCCATAAATATTTTTCTCATGAGTTAAAAAATTAATTTCATACTAACAAAAAAATTGAAGTAAAAAAGAAGAAAAAACTTCTAAAAGAAATCGCTACCAACAATCTTTAGAGAAGCCCTTTTGGGAGTTCTTTGTATAGTAAAAGTTGAGGAAAAAAAACATTTAATGATTCTGAAAGGATTAATACCGTAGTTTTTTGACACAATTACAAAGCCCCAAAAAAGTTTCAAAAATACAGTTCCAAAAAGTTGCTTTTCTTGGGACTTTTTACGGAAATTTTACGACGAAATATCCAAAAAAGGGTTCCTTAAAACATAATTACTGCCAATACCGTTTGGAAGTTTTTTTGGAAACTCGTTTCCCTTTAAATCGGTCGCTATGTTACTAGGGAGTGTTATTAGGAACTCATTTCGAACAATTCTTTCCTAATATTATATTTAATCGAGACACAAAATTTAAACATGCATTATTATTTTTTAATAATTTTAATCAAACTTATTGAAATTAATTTTAATTTTTTAATTAATTTTTAAGAAGATGAAGAGATAAACAATTTTTCCCTGACATTCCCAGTTTTTCCCTTACTTTTTGATAGTCCCTGACATTTCCCAGTATTCCCTGACTGTGGCAACCCTGTATAAACCATCCTCATTCGAACTCAAACAATACACTGATTCGAAGCCGGGACGGAAGGTGCAGAATTCACTGACCTAGACCCGATTGAATACTAACAGGAGCCGCACGCGGCGGGTTATGAAAAAACTTCACGCCAATCGCCGAAAGTTATACCTACACACCCGGGAAAGTTCCGTCGCTTATAAACGCGGGAATAACGCTCTAAATAACCGACAGCGAGGATCCGAACGCTGATAGGATCGACAACGGTGATTGCGGAAACTCAATTTCGAACAGTTAGCGAACTCGATCGAACGAACTTCAACAGTGACGAGTTATCGCCCCCCGCCCCCTCCCCGTTCGAACCATCCCCCGTCATTGGAGCCCTCCTCGTCCGAGAGCTGTGACGGGTCCCGAAATGGGTCGCGATGGAGGCTTAACAGCTGGGAAGAGGTTGTGCCACCGAATAAATCAAAGCTCCGCCGAGGGTGCGGGGTGGCAAAATTTCATGAAATTTAAAATTGCGTACATTTAAAGTTTCACGCCGATTATTTCGTGGACTTCCTGAAATATGTGGGAAACGGGACCTCGGTACACGGCGCACAATGGGTCGAATCAATAGGGGAGGTCGGACAAAGTTTGGAAACTTTAAACGCTTATAACTCGGTTTGTATGAAACTTTGAGGTTCTAAAAGTGGTTCCATTGGTTTTCGCGTAAAATTTCCTTTCAAATGTACCCCTTGAAATTTTAAATGTGACGAAATAAACATCAGAATTTGCAGTTTTGATAAAAAAAACTTCATGCTCGACCTCTCGAATTGACTCGATCCACTGTGCGATGGCGATTTTTTCACCAGAGCGGCTGGACCGAGTATAACGGACATGTGTCGCAGACAGTTGGTAATCGCCGGCAAATTGCGATACATTTGTGTTGAATAAAAACGTAAAAATTCAAAGGTAAAGAGACAAAATAGGAAGCTTTGATTATTTTCTTGAACTTCGAAGAGACGGTCTCTTTTTCAGAATGCATGGTACCGGCTAGCCTGCTCGCAAATGCGTGTGGTGAATCAGTAACCTTAGTTGGGTTTGGTTCGGTTACGCAACTAAACTAACTGCCCGGCAAAGCGGAGAGCATCACCGGGGTTTGAAGGCGCTGCAGGGCCGACTTCGTGCTTTCGAAGCTCTTTACCGATGAAACCTTCACAACTTAAATGCGAATTCTTGCAATTTGAAGAGTAAGGACACATAACGCTAAACTTGGTCCAATTATCGTTGAGATAAGTTAGAATATTGGATTCGGGTTTCTGCGTTTCTGAAAGTTTTCTAACATCTTATACAGAACAAGGTGAGCTGCAAGCAAGTTTTTTTTTTTTTTTTTTTTTTTTTTTTTTTTTTTTTTGTGAACCGAGAATTTAGGTTTACATCTCAATCGGACGGCATACCGTCCAAAACAATGTAGATATGGGAATTTCAGATGACTTTTTCTCGAAACAACGTTCTTGCGAGCTTGGATTTTAGACAGTCATAAATCCAGTTGGGTGTGACATATTTAGGCGTCTTTCTTGCCAAAAGGTTTGTAGAGGATGTCTCTACTCATTCATACGTCAATACTCAATAACTCAGTTCTCGATTTTTTCTGATAAGAATGAGTACTAAATGAAAGAGCATATACTGAAAAAAGGAATAATGATAGAAATATTGATTTTTGGCAACAAAGGTAGTCATATTGCATTGTTTTCTTGGTTCAGGTTTTTCTAAATTACTTGGAAGCCCCTCATTCTCTCTCTCTGACGATTTCTCGAAAAATCATGTAACCTTCCGAGACTTTTCCGCGTCTCTGAAAATATCCTGACATCATCATACCCAGGGTTGCAAGAAACCCTAAGAGGCAAGACTTGAAATAGGAGTCAAATATATTTCCACGAACTCGAAAACTCACTTCCACTTCTCACTTCTCACTTTCTTCTCCGGAGATTCGGCCTAAATATAAAGAATAGAAGAGCCTTCTGCATCTTTGATTTTCTGCGAAACTCTATAATGAGTAACGACTTCAGCGCATCTGAAATTGATTCTCGGAATCGGATACAGCTTTCTTGAAACGAAACGTTAGGAAAGTTTTCTGGGAGCATTATCACGAAAATGATTCCGAGAACTCTCGCATCCGCTTATTAATTACTTGAGACACTTTAAACTCTTTAGAAGTGCCATAAGCTTGGCGGGTAAAGGGCCGTCCATAGATGATTTCGGAGTCTTAGGGAGGAGGGGGCTTAAGACATACAGAGGGGTGACTGACATGTGCTTGATGATAGGAGCAGAGTACCTTTATAGGGAGAGTACACAGAGAGAAATTTCAACACAGAAGTTTGGTTCATACGGGAAGTAAAACACAAAATAACCCTAGCCTTAGGTTGAAAATTTCAAGAGAAAATGTCGGCTAGTTTTCTT